TATAAAAGCCACATTAAAAGTCAATGAGCGGCTAATGGAATTAAGGAAATGACGGTAAGCTGCCTTTATATGTACATACACATAGAAAGGAGTACAGATTGTAGTTGTGTTCTTGTAGTGTGTGACCCGCTGTTGTTGGCTGTTGGCTGTTGGCTGGTGACCAACGAAATTAAGCCACGAAAAATACCCATTTAAAATGTAATACACGTAATGTCATTAAAATGTTCATTACGAATAATTAAGAAATTCACGCTACACTCTCTCTCTCTCTCGCAACCGTTCTCTCTGCTTCTTTTCCTCTTTTGGCAAAAGAGTTTACAGTTTGGCTTTTTCGTTATTGGAGATTTTCTTAAGTCACCGCAGTGCATGTCCTTGCAATTATTTCTTATTTCATTTTATTTAGTATTTTGCTTATTCCTCAATCTTTTGTTGTATTGTTCGATTTCATGGATTTACAGTTGCAGCAAAAAAATTCTCAGTAGAGGCTAAGCAGAAAGATCTACTGTAGTGAAAAAAAATTAAAAGTAAACAAAATAAAAAACAAAAAAAAAATTAAAAAATAAGAATTAGTTTATAAGAAATAAAACAAAAACAAAATATAGAAGTAAATAAGAAAATAATTAAATTAATTAACACAAAATGATTTTAATATAAAATAAAATAAAATAAAATAAAATAAAATAAAATAAAATAAAATAAAATAAAATAAAATAAAATAAAATAAAATAAAATAAAATAAAATAAAATAAAATAAAATAAAATAAAATAAAATAAAATAAATTAAAATAAAATAAAATAAAATAAAAACAAATAAAATAACATAAAATAAAATAAAATTAAATAAAATAAAATATTATTAGAATAAAATAAGTGGAAATAAAAAATAAATTTAATTAAATTAAAATTTCATTAGAATAAAAAAATTGAAATAAAATATAAATAAATTGAAATAAATTAAATAAATCCATTTAAATTAAAAAAACTAAAAATAAAGTAAAGAAATGAATATAATAAAATAAATAAAACAAAATGCAGTAAAATAAAATAAAATTATATTAGAATAAAATAAATGAAAACGACATGAAATAAAATTAATTATGGTAAACTAAAATAAAAAAAAAATAAAAAAAAAATAATATGAAGCAATTAAATTAAATTAATTGTCTTAATTAGAAATATTACAATAAAAAAATTTAATGAAAAACTTAACTTAAGGAAAAAAATTTAAATTAAGTTTAATTAATTTAAACCAAATCAAACTATTAAAGAAAAATATAAGACACATAAATTAAAAAATTTTAGTAAAGCACAGTAAATTAAAATTTAAAAAAAAAATGAATGAAATAAAATGGAAATAAATGAAATACAACAAAATGACATAAAATCCTTCACATCCTACATTTTATATAGAACACATTTTTCCTTTCCACCGCCATACGTAGAAAATTACTGCTTCTAAAATAAAGAATTTAGGACTAACTCACACACCGCCATACCTTCCTCCCTTCGTCATCGTCCTTCTGTTTAACTAATTTATGCAAATTCGCCGAGACAATTTGCAGGAGACATAATTAGCTTAGACAGACGGAATTTTTAACGATTTGTCGCATGCCAACCGATGTCTCGGCTCCTGACTGCTCTTCATCCCAGTCAACAGCTTCCACCTTTGTTTGGATGAAGGAATTTGCCAGGAATTCAGGCTTAATTCACACAAAGCGTCATCGACTATAACAAAGACTGAAACAAAAAAAAAAAAAAAACTGAATTAAAACCAACCACTGGAGTCACAACAGACAGGAGAACCAGCATAAAGGAAGTAATAAAAGCAGTAGAAGATAACTAGCATTGCAAGAGCAACACCAGCAAACAAATAAAGAAGAGGAGAATTGCTGAAATAAGCCTTAGACAGCAAACAAACGAGAAATGAGAAAAATACTGCTCCACTCCCTTGGCAGCCTACACATCTTATGTGCACAGCCGACAGCACTAAAAACAATTAAACTCCTGCTGTTAACTAACGAAAAAGACACAAGCGTCGTACAACTGTAATACGCAACAACAAAAGCAAGCAGAAGGAGAGCAAAACTGTTTACGCTCGCTTTGTAGAAATAGTTGAGAAAGGAGTCAAGCAAAATAAATAACTGAATGAAAATAACCGCGTCAGCAAGCGGAAATAAAATAGGGGACAGATTCAAGGCAAACCGGACACAATCAGAAATCAACCAAAAGAAGATTAGTCCAGCTGACAGCTGTTTGGAGGGGGGAACGAGAAAAATAGGATGATATGTTGTAGGATATTTAGTGGCATTAAAAGGCATCGAAAGGCAGAAAAGGTAGAGGAGTCCACTCCGTGAATAGAAAAGTCAGCACGCGTAGACGACATTACTATTCATTCAATTTATTAGGGGTGGGACCAAAGGAACTCCTATGCTATTATAGATACTTTCTCATACATACACATACAGTGTCTTTTATGTTTCACAGGTTGTAATTTCAGATATAAATACAATCTGAATGAAAAAATAATAACAAAAGCAAAATGAAATTAATAAACTAATATAAAGTAAAATAAAAAATGAAATAATTTATTTTAAAATAAAATAAACTTAAAAAAATAAAATAACAAAACACAAAATAATATCAAATAAATAAAAACAAAAATTAAATAAAATGAAATAAAATGACTTAAATAAATGACACAAAATAAAATGAAATAAAATGACTTAAAATAAAATAAAATCTATTTCATTTGATCAAAAAAAAAAAAATAAAAAAAAAATTAATTAATTAAAATGATTAAAAATAAAATTAAATGAAACAAAATAAAAATTAAATAGAATAAAATAAAAAAAAAAAAATATTAAAAATTAAAAAAATAATATAAATTAAATTAAAATAAAAAAAGTGAGAATAATTAAATAAAAGCACAAAAAAAATTAATGGAATTAAAAATTAAATTAAATTAAATTAAATAACCAAAAAACTAAATTAAATCAAATTAATTAAAATGAGAGTAAAATAAAATAATATAAAATAACGCGAACTAAATAAACTAAAATAAAATGTAATAAAATAATTTAAACTATAAAAAATAAAATAAAATTATATATAATTAAATCAAATAAAATAAAATACTAAGGAAGAAAATAATTTTAACTAAAATAAAATAAAGTTAAATATTATTAAATTATATAATATGCGAGAAAATAAAATAGGAAGCGCCGCCCGGAAAAGTATCCGCCATTATGCACGTGAAAGCGATACTACGCCATTTACAGCGAGCCTGCACTCCTACACTCTCACAACCAGCCCCACATCAGCCGAGAAAAACCAACAGTACAACATCCTCTAATCGAATAACACAGCACGTAATGCCCAACGCCGCAGCTGAGGTAGACAACCCTACAGAATGAAACTGAACAAAGAGGCTGCGAATCCTTGGCATTCGCGTCGTGATAATGAAAGTGATATGTAGTGAATGTCAGCTGAAATTGGAGTTGGTTGTTGTCTCTCTCTCTCTCTGAAATGCCGTGAAATTATTGTAGCTTTTTTTTACTTGGATGTTGGGTCATCAACAATAAACAATTCGGTTAAGCTTTGCCTGTCTTATTAACGTTAATGATACACCACATTTCGCAACATAAAACATATAAGCTTGTTGACTGTGTAGACCGTGGCGGTCACCCTACTTTCTCTTAGTATACATTACATTCGACCAACACTGTCTGCTTCAGTTAGGAGCTGACATTTCTTCTTAATTTTTCCCATCTTACTCTTCTGGGCGCACACACACTGATTACTCAGATTTTACTCTCTGCTATTTGCCAAATAAACAGGCAGGCAGAGGAGACACAATAATATTTAAGTGACACACTAAGGCAGTCAGCGAAAAGTATACTACTTGACACTCACTGCGGCTGGCTAGACATGGACATTGGTTAAACGACGTACAACGTCTGGACACACTACTTTTTCGCTATTCTCCTTTATTATTTCTGCTTTTATTGCTCAGTTCATGCCTCGCGTATAGCTTCTGACAGTAAATGTCAAATGATGCTGTTTTATATGCGTTGAGGAAGCGCGTTTTGCTGTGTAGCAAAGTCGTTTTCGTGTGTTGGGCGCTGTTTTGGGGTAAGTGTTGCGTTTGTATGTGTGCTTGTGTAGGTGACAGGATTCGTATGTCAAATAAATTGTAATTAGTTGGATGTACTGCTCCCCCAAACTCTAGACACCAGCTTAAAGTAAGTTTTGATTGATATTTATTCACCAGACTTTGTTATGTGCACCGTTAAAACACTTGGGGTGGGGAGAAAAATAAAGTCCAAAAAAAATCCTAAATTTAACTAAATTTCGAGGCGACTATATCGATACCTGCAGATTTTTTATGGTGAAATCAATTGTATCTACAATGTAAACAAATAAATTTTTGTTTTTTTTTAATGCCCGTACAGTCGTTTTGGTTGTATTTTTATCCCACATAAGGGAGAAAATAGGAAGAAACTAAGATTCCTTTTCACCCACAATATGTCAATTTTACTACTCAACAGTTTTACTACAATTTCGAGAGATTTCAAATGTTAGTAGTAGATAATTATTAATTTTTTACGCAAAATACCCCAAAAGGACATTTCCCAGCGCAAAGCCATCTGTCAAAAATTGAAGGTTTTTCTCACCTAAACTCTCAGCAATGGAACTACATAAGCCTAAAGAACGTGTTGGATTGTGTGTCAGGTTAATAAAGTTTTTCTCAAAACAGACGCTAAATGAATTACAATAAATCTACTACAACGCCACCTACCGGTCCACTGTTCAAGTGAAATATTTATTTCGAAATAATCCATTAAATCGGAATATTAATTCGAAATATCCTGAGGCCAGTGCCACCTATTGGTATTTTCCTGCATAGAATATATCCATAGGATGTACAACCATTAGTTGACTTCTTTATAAATGAATAAATTTAAGTACGCCATTGAATTCACAAAAACAACTTTTTTATTTCCAAACTTTATTTTAAATATCTTATTTCGAATTATTGTACATAAATTTCTTAACTATTAGGATAACTTATTTTACGTCTTGAGTATTTTTATCCGCCCTCTCTCTTTCTCCCTTCAACCGTTCTCCACCTTAGCTCCATGCCCCACAACCCTCCTTATTCATCTGGCAAGAAGATATCACTGCGCACCTTATCGAATTCAGGCGAGGCGCATGCATGGAACTTGTACACCTTATCGCAGTCATTAGCGCCACCAGCATTCATACATGAATTGACAATATTCATGAGACGCTCCTCACCGACAATTTCATACAGTGACTCCTTCATGGCTTGCTTATTGATGGTGCTATCCTTGTAGAAGACGAGCTTATTGTAGAGACAGTTCACGTAACATTTCTCATTGGCACTGGGATTGGCAACCTTAATTTTGACCAAATTGGTAGCGAGCTCATCCGTAAAACCGTATTCACCAATACAAGCTTCCTTGGCGTGTTTCAAGTTGAGGCGATAGGCAATCCAGGCGGTGAGTACCTCGAATTTCGCTTCCAGCTCTGGCGTGAGTTTCTTTGGTTTGCGTAAGCCGGCTTCGGTACTGAGTACGCAGAAGCTGAGCACCACTGTTGCTAAGATGCAGCAAATGATTGAAGATTTCATATTTGGCAGGATATGTGGTTTTGAATACTAGATTACTGTATGTGAAGTGCTATTCACTGAATGTTGTGCAGACTGAGCGTTCTCCCTGCTTTATATACCTATTTTCTTATCTCCTAACAACTATAAGTAAAAGTTAGAAATCTAATCGGTTACGAAGGCAATGTAATTCAGACTTTTTCAGACTAATCGCATTGTAATTCATAAGAACATCAAATTATCAAGAACTAAGCAATGCATTGAACTTTTTTCCTGATATGTAAGCAATTTCGATAATCATTGCAATTTACATATGTATATTTGAAATTAAACTTAAATATGTATGTAAGCACATATTTGCATACTTGGCTGTGATTTACGAAACTTTGCATTCTGAATAATTCTCACGCTTATCTCTATTGAAATTTTTTTATATTTTTATTTTTATATATTTTCTAATATTTTAAACTTAAATACACGCATATGGGGGAAACCCGCATTTAACTATTTCATTGTTTTTAAAATGTCTTTTTGTGATTCTAAGAACGACTGTTTGACGGTTTTTCAAATGCCTTTTTTGGCAACCGTTTCGAACAACTACTTTGGAAGGCCTCTCTTAGAGCACTTCATGCCGAATTGATAATTTTTATGCCTACATGGATATCAAGTTAAAAATTACTTAATGGATTAATTAGACGCATTTGGTGTAGCAATCGTGTATAAGGGGGTCTCTTATCCTAGGATGATAACTCTGTCATTTAAGCTGATTTCTATGTAGTTTGCTGTAGCCATCGTCAATAGGGGGGTCTCTTATCCGAGGATGATAACTCTGTCATTGAAGCTGGTTTCTATGTAGCGAGTCCCGAATTCAGTGCACTACCTCGCTAGACGAGTAGGTTTAAATTTTGCCCACACTTATATAGCGAGCCTTTTGCTTGCAGAGCAACGCCCGGCATTATTAACACCAACAACAATATTAGCCTGTAAATCCAACGCAAAATCACTAAAGTCGTCTATCGAAGAACAAACACCAAAAGTCTCAAGTTACTCATGACTCCACTCCTGATATATGGCGCTAAAGTTTGGCCGATGAAAACATCGAATGAATTACGTTGACATTGACATCTGTCAGAGAAACAAGAGACTGTGAACACGCAATCTGGGCCATGTGGTCCGAATAGATGAAAACTCTCCATTGACGAAAGCTTTTGATGCAGAACCCGCCGGTGAAAGTAGAGGATGCTAAGGGCAGAACTAAAAATAATGAATGAAAATTAGCCCGTAGATGGCGCTGGAGTAAAGTTATTGATCAAAAGAGAAATTAATTGTGGAATTGATAATTAATAACTATAAAAATCATTGATTTTCAATTTCAAGGACCTGTTATAATGTACCAGAATAGGGTGGGACGAGTATGTGCCTTCGGTAATTGGATTTTTTTTCTAGATTTTATTAATTTTCCCTTTCTTCGTCTCATTGCTTCCCTTCAGTATATATTTCAAAGATCTTTGTACGGCTACCCCGGTTAGCCACTGTAGTTTTCCATTTTGTCTGTCTGTTCACCCGAATTTTCAACACATTTTCGATTGTGTGTTTCTCTTGAAAGTCTTGAAAGATACGCGTAGCACTCACTCTTAACATCTCCCCACATAAAAATTCGTCAACGAAGTCAAATTACAGCTGCGAGGCGACCAGTTGCCAACGACGTTTCGATTAATTATATAGTTTACGAATACAGAGAGCAAATGATTGATTGTAATGTTGGCTGTAGCCTGATATGAAGCCTCGTCTTATTTAAGCCACACATCGTCCATGTGATTCTCTTTAACATTTGGAAAAAAATTGTATCTCAGCATGGCGCCGTAACGATCGACATGGATGGTAATGACAGCAAAAATCCTCGATTGTGGTACATTTAAGGCACCAAACAGTCACTTGTTGAGAATGTATTGGCTTATCCATAGTTACATGTGAGTTTTCTCAGCCTTAAATGGGGGAGTTCTGCTTATTAACGGAGCCGCCGAGATGAAACTGAGCTCAGTTGGGAAATAAATCGTCTCGGTGAAAATGCTAATCTTCTGTTAAGCGATTTAGAGAATATTGAGAGACATGAAATCGGATGGGGTCCAGAGGCTCCACTTCTTGATCTAATTGGATTTTTAAATCGAGGTCTTCGTGCAAAACTCTGCTCAAAAAAGTGCCCGAAATGTTTAATTCCAGAGAATGATGTCGAATTAAGCTTGACGGCTGTTCGAGCGAACTTTGAGCTACTGAAGCTTCATTTTGGGTTTGGGTTTTGCTAAACCTCTAATAGTAGATTCTAGCAAATGATTAGGTAAAGCTTAAATTAACGATTCTGAGATAAAAGGTTTCAAAATTGAATCGTTATACTGATACTTACGCATAATAGATACCAAAAGTTAACGGCACCAGCGCCTCCGTGGCGCAATTGGCTAGCGCGTTCGGCTGTTAACCGAAAGGTTGGTGGTTCGAGCCCACCCGGGGGCGTGACGGTACTTTTTACACAGAAATTTTAAATAAAGTTTCTTTAAGAAATATGAAAGGTGAAAAAGTATGAAGAAAATTGAAATCCTTAAATGATCAGTGACCCATAGCTTGTGTTTTCATTATCATCTTTAATAAAATATATAATATTTTGTATTTCTTAATTTTTTATTTAAAATATTATTTTAATAATTTATTTACAATAACTAAAAGTTAGCATACAGTTTAACATAATTTCAATAATTTTAATCTGAGTTAGAATATCAGATTTATTCATCTGGCAAGAAGATATCACTGCGCACCTTATCGAATTCAGGCGAGGCGCACGCATGGAACTTGTACACCTTATCGCAGTCATTAGCGCCACCAGCATTCATACATGAATTGACAATATTCATGAGACGCTCCTCACCGACAATTTCATACAGTGACTCCTTCATGGCTTGCTTATTGATGGTGCTATCCTTGTAGAAGACGAGCTTATTGTAGAGACAGTTCACGTAACATTTCTCATTGGCACTGGGATTGGCAACCTTAATTTTGACCAAATTGGTAGCGAGCTCATCCGTAAAACCGTATTCACCAATACAAGCTTCCTTGGCGTGTTTCAAGTTGAGACGATAGGCAATCCAGGCGGTAAGTACCTCGAATTTCGCTTCCAGCTCTGGCGTGAGTTTCTTTGGCTTGCGTAAACCGGCTTCGGTGCTGAGTACGCAGAAGCTGAGTAGCGTTGTCGCCAGCATACAGCAAACTATGAAAGATTTCATTTTGAGTTGGATTTTTTTTTCGTGTGTTTAGTGGGTTAATGGTGTGTAAGCACTGAATAGTTTCCTAAGCATGCACTGCACCTTATATACAAGCGCTTCAATTCATACTTTCTTATCAGGCTCAATAAGTAAAAATAAATATTATAAATTACCTCATCTAAGCTTAGATTTACCGTAATTATGTGTTATTAATGTAATCGGGTTCCACGGAATATTGAATTCGTGAGAATGTAGATTGAGCTGATAACGATTTTCGTGTCGTCACAAGCGATTTACATATTACAAATGTATTCTGTGTAATTTCTGATTGATAGCCTACATATAAAATGTTTCGTCTCCCTCTTGGTGCATCGCCTTACAATTGCAGTCGTATATTTTCAGTGCAAGATATGTTGAATTTTCATTAAATTGAGTGCATGCTTTTCGTTATGTTTTCAGCTTATAAAAATATATTGTTAATTAAAATATTTTGGCGAAAATTTAATTTTTAGTTTGTTCTTATCCCTATTAAAATTATTTTTTTAATTTATTTTTTTATTCTCTACATTTTTTTCTTTTGCTTTTTTATCTACCTAAAAGTTTTTTTTTCACAATATCTCTATATTTATCAATTTCATTTATTTTCAACAATTTTTTATTTTTTTTTAATTCGTTATTTTTAATATTTGAAATTTTTTGTTAAAATTCCAGAAATCCTTATTTAATTTTTTATATAATATATTCTATATTTTCCGTTTTTTTTTTCTTCTAGAATTTTTACAAAAATTTTTTATTTTCTTACTATACATTTTTTATTTTATTTTCTTTATTTATTGAATTAAGCTAAAGCTTTTATTTTATGCTCTATGCTACCTGTCTGGAACTTCATACTAGGCTCAAAATATCGCCTCCGTGGCGCAATTGGCTAGCGCGTTCGGCTGTTAACCGAAAGGTTGGTGGTTCGAGCCCACCCGGGGGCGATTAACTGTATTTTACACTTCAAAACTTATTCGAGTATCATTTAAGGGGAAATCAATCGAAATAAAAAATTTTCAATGGTTTTTAAAATTACTTGTAGTTTAATTTAGCTACATTTGTCCCTTAAATAATATTTCCTTCTTAAGTATCAAGGGAATCACACAGAGCTGTAACATCTTCAATCAGTCGATCTAAATACAAAAAAACAATTTCCTTCTGCATCAAGCCTGTTCAAGTTATTACTTTGAAGCCGACGGTGACACCATAAAAAGTAAATTAGGTTTAAATAAATAAAAATTAAAATTATGTTTCAAATCTATATTTTTAGCTTCAATGATTACTTCCATATTGGCAATAAATTACATGGCATCAAAAATTTTTAGTTGAGGAAACTGTCTAGTGCAACCAAAATTATATTAATATACGATTAACGATAAACGATTTTTTAAAGGTATAAATGCCTTTTTTTAAAATAGTGCTGAACTACTTAAGTTGTTGCTCAATAACTTACTGAAGTTTGTCCCACGCGAATGCCATTTATATTTTGTATATTCCTATAGTATGAACGAATCGTTAAATTGTCGAAGACCCCCATAACTCATGAAAAACTTATGGGATTTAAAAAAAAATGATTGTGCTTGCAAAAACTTACGTTCTTGTCCCATGTAAATGTCGATTTTTTGTGCTTGGAAATTTCGTGAGAACGTAAAATTTCCTGGGATCAGCCAAAGCGTCAGTTTAGGTTCTAATATAAGCTTTAAGTCCACTTTATAGCCTCAATACAAATCAGCGATGATTCTCTAGCTTTTTTTTACGCAAAAAAAAATAAATTCATACATTTGTAGATTATGTGTTTGCAGGAGTTTTGCACTACGATGAATATTATTCAAATGGCAGCTTCTCGAACACACCTGTTTCACGCACGCTGCGTACTTTCAAAAATCCTTGAACGCGTTTTTCTCAAAACCAAGTTTCCGATCTAACTTCAAGCCACGGGCTTGATTTATCTGTCCGATTTCTTTTATCTACAAACTGTTTCAAAATATTGGGTGAGTGCATAAAATCGTCCGATTTCAAGTGCAAACTAAAATTGAAATTTTTTGAAGAAAGCACTTTTATTAATCAATTATGTATTCGCCATCATGTTCGGCAATCCACTCCCAACGTTCAACCAATTTACGGATGCCTGATTCATAGAAATCGCGCGGTTTCTCGTTGAAAAAGGTGTCAAGGTGGTTTTTGACGTCTTCCACATATTTAAATTTTTTTCCATTCAAATTGTTCTGAAGCGATCATCTCCTTCAGTTTGGCCAGGGTCGGTTTTGCAATATGTGGCCTGGCGTTGTCATGATGGAAAAGAACTCCTTTGCGATTGGCCGAAATCGGACGTTTTTCATCAATTGCTTTCTTCAATTCGACCAATTGCTGACAATACTTGTTGGCAGTGATCGTTTCTCCAGCTGGCAAGAGCTCAAAATAGATCACGCCTCGGATATCCCACCAAATGCACAGCAGTACCTTCATCGGATGCAATCCACCTTTCGACATCGGTTCCGCCCCTTCGTGTGCCTGTTTCCATGTTCTTTTGCGTTGAACATTGTTGTACAGGATCCATTTTTCATCACCAGTCACGAGCCGATCCAAAAAAGGTTCGTTTTTGATCCGTCGAAGCAAAGAAATTGCTGTTGACATACGGTCCACTTTGTTTTTTTCACTCAACTGATGTGGCACCCATGTATCGAGCTTCAAAGTGTACCCAACCTTTTTTAAACGACGAAACGCAGTTGATTTGTTGACGTTCAATTCACTGGCAACCTCTTCCGTCGAAATACGTGAGTTATTCGCAACTAAAGTCCTTAGAACATCGTCATCAAGCTCAGAAGGCCGTCCACTGCGAGGTTGATCTTCGAGGTTAAAATCTCCAGAACGAAATTTCGCGAACCATTTCTTTACTGTGCGGAGTGCTGGAGCACGGTCCAAATAAACTTCGCGAATATCTTTAGTTGCAGCGCCTACTGTTTTTCCTTTGCGGAATTCGTATAACATAATATGACGCATATGATCTTTTTCGTTGTCCATCTTCCATGCGTCTTTTCACTAAGCAACTCAAATCAAAATGAAGTTATTTTATGCTTGATTTACAGTTCCGACTGTCACCTTTCCAACGATATATAATATGTATATATTTCTTTCACAAGCGCCACTTCAAACGATTCGAACGACATCCAGCGGAATCGGGCACGAACTTATGCACTCATCCAATATATATAGTTTTTTTATTTCTCGAACCTGAGTTTAGCTGTAATAACTAATTATTTATATTTTTTTAACGAAATTGAAGTGAAAAAATAGCAAAAATTTTACTTTATATTTGCAATGGGCATAATGCAATAAAATTATAGTAAAAATTGTTTCAATTGGGATTCAGAAGGTAGAAAATTTCATGATCTTCAAGTAAAGCAAACGATTTTTGATTTCAGTCTACCACAAAGAGCTGAAAGCTTGAAGTTTTTGCATCACGTTTTTCGCGCAGAGGCCGACGGAAAGCGCCGTTTTGTAGCCGTCAAAACCAGAATTTCGTGAGACTTTTCGTTCTCCCACAAAAATAAAATACAAACTATGCCTGATCTTTGCCCAATATGAGGGGATGGTCTTCTTAACTAAGAAATTACGTTGTCTCTATCAAGATCGAATAAAGTAAATTTTATTTGAAAACCGTTACGATTTAGTCGTACAAAAATATAAGTTATTAAATAATTTGGAGTCCTAAAAATAAAAGCAAATAATTGTTTAAGTGTAAAAAATCCTTTAATTTCAAAAGAAATATTAACTAAAAATAATGCTAATAATTTGCATTTAATGCTAAAAATAACTGCATAATACCTATTGATTTCACATTAAGTGGAATTAAATTAGCATTTAAACTGATAAGATTCATAGTAAACTATAATTAAAAACAAAAACAACTTACGCTCGAAAAAATTTGCAAACGCAAAGGTAATGAAAATTGACAGATAAGAATTAAATCTAATATTATTTTGCTATGAATAATACAATACTGAAAAGAGTTGAAAAAAATTTACAGCTTTTGCGGTGATTTTCTAGGAATACCCAGGAAGTATTCTTGCGATCACTTATCAAGTATATAAACTTGCCTTAGTCAGTTAAAAAGTCGCAGTTCACTTACAGCATTTAAAGAGAACAGTTAGCGAATTTTAAAAAAATATTTGCAAATCTTAAATTTTTTTCCGCAGTATCAAACATAAGAAAAATGAAATTCCTTTTACTTTTCACAATCATCGCTACAATCGCCTGCAGCTCCAGTGCTGCCATATTACCAAATTATCATGATATGGTTGTAAATGAAATGGATAAGGAGATTGCCGAACTTTATAAGAAAAGAGATGACAGAGCTAATGCGGATTTGAGTGCTGCTGCTGAGTATTTTCAAGCGCCACATGCATCTAAGCAAAATGTGGGAGGCAAAAGTGTGGACTGTTTAAGTGAAGCTGCCGTTGAGTATTTTAAAGCGCCCGAGTGGTCGCAGCGCCACAGCAAAGCGCAAAGTTTAACGGCGCAAAAAAGTTTAGCCGCAGCTGCGGAGTACTTCAAAACACCTGAGTTGCCACGGAAAGGGCTTACGGCAAGCGAACTTGAGGCAGCAGCTGCAGCATATTTTAGTGCACCACATTTGCCTGAGTCTAAGATTAGGACAGATCCTAACGAAGCAGTGCTGGCAGCAGCAGCAGAGTATTTTAAAGCGCCTAAATTGTCTGAGTCTAAAATAAGGAGTGATCCTAACGAAGCAGTGCTGGCAGCAGCAGCAGAATATTTTAGAGCGCCTGAATTGTCTGAGCCTAAACTTAGAAGAGGCACAAATGATGCGGTAAAAGCAGCAGCAGAGTATTTTAGAGCGCCTGAGGCACCTAGCAAGAAAATCATTGGTCTAAACTCGGAACCGCTGTCAAACTTGGCATGGAACCTATATTTGGAAAGAAGTAATATACACAGAAAAAATGTAAAAAAAAGTTAATGAATTTACAAGTTGTAATCAAGAGAAAAACTTTCAGTAATTTATTTTTCAAAATATTTAAGTTAGA